ACAGGGTTTCTCTGTGTTGTTTTGGTGCCTGTCCTGGATCTTGCTGTGTAGACCAGGCTGGCCTTGAACTCACAGACATCCGACTGCCTCTGCCTCCCGTGGGCTGGGATTAAAGGCGTGCGCCACCACACATGGCGAGAGCCCATTTATATTAATACAGATCAATGGTGTCCCTCTGCTCTAAACCTACTAGTTTCCATTCCTCACTGGGGATATGACAGCTCGCTCGCTCTCTCTCCCCATAGTCTGGGTGTGTAACTCGAGTCTCTTGCTGTGGCCACAGGTGTGTGCCACCACAGCAGGCCTCTGGTCTTTACTTTCCAGGGTCACTTGACTTTGTTTTTTTGCGGGTTGCAGATGGCCACCTGCAGAGTATCTTCAAATACTTGCTGTGTCCGGGTTCTACCTCTCAAAGGTGATTGGGTGCTCCCCTTGGGATCTCAGAATGCTGCCCCGGCCCTCAGCAGGGCTCTGCTTGCTCTGAGAAAGACTGACTGTTTCAGGGTGGAGGTCAGACTGTTCTGTGCAGCTGGAGGGCTGCAGCCCCTTCCTTTTTGACTGATGGCCTGACCCTCTCTCAGCTATTGCCGTTTCCTGCACACTCACATGGCCCCCGGGCACTGATGCCATCAGTACTACCTTAGGTCCTTCTTGATCTTCCAGTCCCTCTGATTTCTCCTGCCCTCCTCTGCTGCTTCCAGCGAGACAAAGCCCGCTGCTTTTATAGGCTCTTGGGACTAGACCAAGGCTCCCTGGAGTCCAGTGGACTCTTATTTTAGGGTCTGACTCCCTCAATATATCTAGTGTTCTTGCTGCCATGTTACATGTCACAGGCTACAGGGATTAGGGCCAGGCATCTCTGTGGAACTAGTAAGCCTTTCAAAGCTCTTATTTCTTTATCTTCCATACACGACAGTCCAGCATCTCCCTTCCTTTTAAAGGAGAGTAGGATTCAGTCTTGTCCTTTTGGAGAAAATAAATTACAGACACCATTACATCCCAAACTTGCATGGACATTGCGCTTTCAGCTTACACCCATAAACCGTAGTGCTAGGATCAGGCTCAGTTAAATTCACCTGGTGGATTTAAGACTTGAGACGGCTGCATTTTGACACACCATTAAGTGGCACTTGCCTGGAAAGCTGGCTTTTGTCTGTCTGTTCCTGAAGTAGTGACCAGACAAGCACCCAGACTGGATAGAGCAGGGAACAGTGGTCTGGTGATTACTGGAAGGTCCTCAGGTGAAGCCACTGCGGCTTGGAAGTCCTCTGGCTATTGGAGCTCCTTTACAGAATTTCAGTTTTACCTTGCAAAGGTAAATATACATATATATTTACACTTGATAAAAATATATATTTATTCATGCGGAGTTCCTTCACAAATTAGCGTCTTCCTTCCACAGGGACCATGCTATTCTTCTCTGTCCCATTCATCTTGGTATGTGTGCTGCTGATAGTTTTAAAAACCATAGGCTCAAGCCCTCCACCGCATGGATATAACGTCCACGGCTATGTAAACCAGGCTGGTTTCTGCACCAAGCTGAGGGCTCTTCAGACACATGATGGCCACATACTTAGATTTCTCAACTGCTCTTTAAAAAAAAAAAAAAAAAAAAAAACCTTTTTTTTTTTTTTTTAATTTAATGTGACCAGTAGTGAACTTCTACCCTCTGGGGTTCTCTCGCTGTGCTGTAAGCCTGTATTTAAGACCTCCCTCCTTCAATAAATGGTATTGGGGGGGAATTTTAATGTGTATGAGTGTTTTACCTGCAATTATGGGTATTGCCCATGGAGGCTGGAAGAGGGCATAGGATCCCGTGGGCCTGGAGTTACAGACAGTGTGAGCTGCCATGTGGCTGCTGGGAATTGAATCTGAGTCCTCTGGAAGAGCAGCCAGTGCTCTTATCTTAGGATAAAATGCAGAACTAAATATTCTGACTTGGCCAAGGAGCGGTGGCGCACGCCTTTAATGCCAGCACTCGGGAGGCAGATGCAGGCAGATCTCGGAGTCTGAGGCCAGCCTGGTCTACAGAGTGAGTTCTAGGACAGCCAGGGCTACACAGGGAAACCTGGCTATAAGAAAAAAAAAAAAAAAAAAAAAAACAAAATGGAAAAGCTATAGTCACAGCTGGCCTGCACTGACTGAAACTCATGCTGGACACAACAGCTCTAGAAACAGAAAGGACAACCTACATATGGGAGAAAATGTCTTAGTCATCACATGGAACATACGAAAATACAGCTTAACAGTAAGATAAACGACTCACAGAATCAGAAAAGGATGTGAAAACACACCAGGCCGAACGGTAACATACGGAGCTGACAGCATGTGAAGACGCCAAGATCAATAGTCATTAGGGAAATCGAGGGAAAACCACAGGGAGAGACCACTTCATATCCACCATGATGGGTGCTAAGATGTAGAACAAGTGTCGGTGGGTGAGGATGTGGCAAAGTGGGAACCTTGTGTTGCTATTAGGAATCTCAAGCCCTGCAACCGCACGGTGCTCTGGCTTGTCTTGTTCCCCTGCTGGAGGCTTGGTCCCCAGGGAGGCAGCATAGATGTGGAATTCCTCATCAAAAAGCAAACAGTGCTGTGTGCTTGTGACCCCAGTGCTGGGGAGGCAGGGTCGGGCAGATCCCTAGAGCCTGGGCCATTCAAGTTCCAGGCCAAGAAGAAATCCTGCCTCAAAATAGAAGGTGGTTGCTGCCTGGAGGAGACCTGGGGCTGACTTCTGGCCTCCACAAGCATATGCTTGCCCCTGAATCCACATGCACACCCTCACACGTGGCTCCTGGTGGGCTGACTCACTGTGAGGACAGGCAGGAATGAGTGTCGGATTAGACGTGTGGAGAAGCTGGGAGTGTAACACACTCTTGTAAGTATAAAAATATGCTTTTGGTTTTGGAAACGGGCTTTTGTGAAGTAGCACAGGCTGGCCCCGAGCTGGTGATTACCCGTCTCAGCTTCCCGAGTGCTAGGATTATCGCTATCACAGCCAGAGGGAATGGGAAGCTCTGCAGTTGTTTGGGAAAGTGTTTGTGGTTCCTTAAAAAAGGTTACATATGTCCAGGAGTGGTGAAGCAGAGGCAGGCGGATCTCTGTGAGGTGGAGGCCAACCTGGTCTACAGAGCAAGTTCCAGGCCAGATAGAACTACACAAGTCCTTGTCTCAAAAGAAAAAAGTCTAGATATGATCTAGCAGTGCTACTGCTACATGTCACCTGAAAGAAAGGAAAACACAAAGCAAAGAAGAATGCTTGCTGGTCTCTTGTGAGTGTGAGTGTGTGTGTGTGTGTGTGTGTGTGTGTGTGTGTAAGCGTATGCGCACACATATTTATCATGTACTATATTTCTTTCCCTCATCCATCAATAAAATCATATAGGGCCCAATACTAAATAACATTTTCTTCCTTAGTTTTATTGAGCATAAGCCAAAGACCGAAAAGATTCCTATATTGGCAATTTATTTGTATCAAATTACAGAGTACCATCAGTAAGCACAAGGTTATGATTCGAATAACATAATGCACATGTTGGGGGGAATCAGTTGTCTCAAGTCCATCATATGCCTGAAGCACACTGAAGAGCTTATGTGGAATAATTTGGTGTGATAAACATTTCTGTACCTTATTTGACCAGTTATCAGGTAAATATATATATATATATATATATATATGATGTGTGTGCATACACACTTCCAAATTAAATAGATTCATATAAAAAGCTCAAGAATGATGTTAGCATTATTTTCTTTAAAAAGTCTATTATATTAAATTGCACCTGTATTTAAAGCAGAAATGTAAAAAAAGAAAAACAAAAAAACAATCCATTTACTAAATACTGATGAATTTACAACAATCAAAAATGAAATAAAAGTTTCTATTGAAATGTTGGGTTCCTGTTTGACATTTAAGAGGCACTAACAAACTATGGAAATAAACATTTTCCCCCCAGATTTCAGAGACTAAAGGTTCTAGGAGCAGTACCGAGCCCTCTAAATTAATGAGAATCATGGTTGGCAGAGACAGCAGAGAAGTTTCCTCTTTCCTACGCAGGAACGGCAGGACGTGGTCACCGCAGCTTGTCCCGCCCAGCCTGAGTTTTCCTTCTCCCATCAGTGGAAGTCCGGCTTCTCGGGAAAGGTGCAGCCGGTTCGCCTGATGATCACGCTTGCTGCGTAGTGGCCAGCGCGGATGCATTCGGTCAGAGGCTTGTCATAGACCAGCTGAGAGAGAAACCCTAGAAGAGACAAGCGAGAGAACCTAAGGGACGGGTAACAGCATTAGAAACATCACGAGCTCAACCGTCACCCAGGGACTCCAAGTTTCACCGTGAAGGTTCATCTTGACTTCAACTTGATGAGGAGAGTCTGTCTGGACTGCCCATCAGCACGTTGGTGACCACGGGAGTGAGACGTGCCCCCATGGGGGTGGGGGGCACCACCCAGGTGGCTGGGGCCTGAGTGGAGTGAGGAGGGGGAGGAAGCCGGCAGTGCAGACAGTCTCGGCTTCCGGGCGGTCATCTGTAAACTGCTTTGCTCTACTGCAGCCTCTGAAGGTGTGAGAGGCAAACCCTCCCTCCCTGAAGTAACGAACACACCATGCACAGTGCTGCTCACTTAGAGGGAGGTCTAAGGCAAGCTCTGGAGAGGCGCATTTCTTGGGGTCTTTGCTGATAAAGTTACAGTTTATCTCCCCCCCCCCTTCCTTGTGGATCCCTTCTTTACTGGAACCCCCACTACAGTGCGGTTCCAAGAAAACGCCACGGTCTCAGAGAGATGCGAAGCGGTGTCAGGGGGCGGGGCGCACCTGCAGGCTCGCGCTCGGGAGGCAGAGGCAGGAGCGGCAGGGTTTCAGTCATCCTAGGTTCCCGAGGGAACTCAAGGCCTGCCTGAGCTATACGAGAGTCTGTTTCAAAAACCAACAAAATCAGACAGAGAGA